ATAACAGAGATCACTGTTTATCAACCTAACAGTGATGATGTTTATATTCTGTTTACAGACCATCCTGGGGGCCAGTCCACTCCCTGCCCTCTCCAGTGCCCGACCCCTCAGTCCTATGACCCTTACTTCCTGCCTTGGATTCTCCTGCCTTGTGTCTCTCTGCTCACTGGTTCCATCTCATCACTCTGCTGCTATTTCTGTCATAACAAAGGTCAGACATGTTTGATGTCATTGTGTTTTGTGTTCCCTGTCTGGTCCTTTTGCGTCTCATTCAGCCCCAGACTGGGCTGTAGCATATATGCAGGTACAGACACTATACACTTCCTGTGGGCTGTGTGTTAATACACTGTGATACAGTGTAACTCTGACTTTCTTCCCTAGCTAAAGACCACTGCGGCTCAGTGGGTCACACCTCCAGGACTGCTAAGCAGTTAAAGTGCCAAAGTTACACACAGTATCAGCTGCCTTGGTGTTAATCTTTACATTAAATATTAGTAATTTATAAATATTCAGGCATAAATCAGCTGTAGCTGGAAATCTTTATGTCTGACCATTGTTTTGTGTGTTTCCTGTTTTAAAACCTAAAACCAGCAGCCAATCTCTTTCTAACACAAGCATGTCCAGCATGCATGGCAAAGTGAGACAGTGTGAGAGTAGCAGCCCTTATCAACAGGGCTGGTAGAGCACCCTGTGCACTCTGTGAATGACGTCACTCTTAACTGTTTCAGCGCCACTGAGGAAGAGCTCTGACTCACAGCAGAGGGGAAGCAGGACCAGCCGACATGATCAGGTACTGTCACTGACAGGGCTTTCTGTGGCCTTCAGGCCACAGTGGGAAAGTGTCTCTGCTTAATCAGACATGTTTATGTAGCAAAATTAACTCTGCTGAATGTTTTACATAGACTGGAGTACTTTGATTGTGAACTTAAACCTGTTTTTCTTTTTTTACAGGACAAAACTGAGGTCAACTATGTACCTGTAAAGACAGAATTACTGTAAAAAACAACAACAGGGGAGAACATTATAGTGTTTATTTTTTAAATCACACACCAGCCATTACACTTGTAAAATAAAGAACAATAAATAAATAAAATTAAGAATATGTGCTTTAAGTGCTTGATTCTGGGGCTTTTCTGAGATTCAGTGCTGACTAACCGGAATTGTAAATAAATTAAAGTCAAAATGTTGTTTTGAAATGTTTTGCCCACCAAACATGCACAGTGACCTGAGAACAGGGAGAAACATGGTTTTTACTAAGTCATCCTGGGAGTTTAAGGTGCCTGTTTCATGCTGCAGAACACTGACAGAATCACCCCATTTCCACCCCGTGATCCACACGCCTGATCACAGGAATAATTCTGTCACATAATTACATATAAATGGTCATTTTGATGGACCCTGTATTGTGCTGCACAGACTCCTTCATGTCCCCAAACCCTCAGCCTTTCTCTGGTCCTTTACTGGATCCATCTATTATACTGTAGCTGTAATCGGGCCTTAAAAGTTACACCCAACAAGGCCCAAGCCCAACAGAATTTGGCCAGATCCCGACAAGTACATTTTGATTGACAGCGTTTTAAAAGCCTGAACCTGTTTACAGCCCGACATTATTCAAATGTGCGCACACACACAGCTCGTTTGCCTTTTGTCAAGAATGAGTCATTTATACATTTTTTAACATCATTTATTCATGACTAACATAGGCTATAGGTCACTTGTGTAGGAATTATTAGCTCAGGTAATTTTTAATATCTCCATCAATATGTTTGAAATTAATTAAAGTTTAATTAATTATTATTTA